GGTCGTGTGTGTATGTGTGTTCTCAGGTCATGTGATTTAGACCCTCCAAAAGTCCGCCCCTGCCCTTCTCCACTCTTTTCAAGCAGGAGCCACAGCAATAGTAGTAGCTGTGCTATTAGTAGTAGCTGTACAGTACTGTAGTAGTTGTAGCTGCAGTACTGTAGTAGTAGTAATTTGCAGTACTGTATTAGTAATTTTGGGAAGCTTTCGATTTTTGCGACACTAGTCTAGAACGGAATCACTCACATGCGTGACCGTCCTCCCTCGCGTCCTACGTTCTCTGCATACACAGATTTGGCCAAATTGCGTTCCAGAATCTGCTACCATCGTCGTGCAATCAAAAGCCTCTTATTAGTAGCTGCAGTATTGTATTAGTATTAGTATTAGCAGCGGCGGCGGCAGCAGCATCGGCAGCAGTAGTTAGTATACCTACCCCCTATGTTAATAACCATGATTTTTTTTGATTTTTTTTTTGTGCAGGCTCTGGAACATAACAAATCCGTCGTCAGGTCTTTTTCTCTATACTGTGGCAGCATCGTTATGCGATGATATCTCCTTGTATGGTTTCTATCCGTTTTACACATCATCGGACGGTACGCAATTAAAACATCATTATTATGAAAACAGATCAATGGACTACGCAAAATCACATCACATGCCAGAAGAATTCAAATTGTTCACAGTTTTACATAAATTTGGGTTTATTCGATTGGTTTTAGACAGATGTTCACAAGATAGTAGGAGATTGTAAGTCTCAGATAAAATATTTTGAATATAAAAAAAATAATAATGTTGTATACAATTCTATAATATTTATTTGTGATGAATGAAACTACTAAAATAATTATTGTAATTAATAAGTTTTTAAATAGTGGAAAAGTCCCAGGTAGCAAGCAAACATGGGCCCAATATGGGAAATGCATGGGCCAAAATGTGGGCCCCCTACATGGCCTATATGGGATCAAGCTGCCTGTGCACCCTAAATCTTTAAGGGTTCCATAAAGTTTGGCTCAAATGCAAATGTGGGCCCTTTAAAGGATATATTTGGGTCCCATAAGGTTTGAATTGTGGTTTCATTTGGGACCCGTATGGGTTTGTCCAAGTTAATTCATGGGGCCATTGTGGGCTCTATCTGGGTTTTTAGGGGTTGAATCGGGTTGAAATGTAAGGGGACCCTATAAATTGGGCCATATGGGAAAGAGCTGCCTGTGCACCCTAAATCCATATGGGTCCCATAAAGTTGGCCCAAATTAATTTATGGGCCCATTAAAAAGAATATATTTGGGCCCCTTATTTTTGCATTATGGTTTCATTTGGGACCAATATGGGTTTTACCAAATTATTTCATGGGGTCTTTATGGGCTATATCTGGGTTTTTTGAGGATTGAAATGTAAGGGGCCACTATAAATTGGCCCATACAGGAATGAGCTGCCTGTGCACCCAAAGTCCATAAGGGTCCCATAAAGTTCATAGGCCCGTTAAAGAATATATTTGGGCCCCTTGGGTTTTCATTATGGTTTTATTTGGGACCCATGTGGGTTTTGTCCAAAATAATTTACGGGCCCACGCTGGGCTATATCTGGTTTTTTCCAGGGCTGAATAGGAATTGAAATGTAAGGGGGGGGGGGCACTAAATTTCTTTGGGTACTGTATTGTATTTTTCACAACTATTCAACTGATCCAAGTTCCAAATGGTCTTTAGCTGGTCCCAGATTGAACTTGTCTTCAGCTGCTGGTCCCAATTCTATCTGGTCTTCAATTGGTCCCAGCTCCGTCTTGTAAAATAACAATGGTTTATATTGACTCCTGTAGACCTACAAAATACACTGAGTTTAAGTTATACAAACCATAATTCCTTTTAATTAAAAACATCAGCTGTACTTCATGGGGTAGGCACTTGCATACCCCTTCACATATCATTTGGCTTAAGCCTTAACTGTTACGCTTACAGTTCTGTTTATATCAGCATTTTTGTCGATAATTATAAGGCTATTATATTAAAGCATCACTAGAGTTTATAGTATAGTACCATATTCAAGAATCGTTTGCGTCAGGCGTGCATATAAACCAACAATCTTTGTGTATTGAAGCAGCATCTCTCCATAATCATGCATTTTCTTCTCCGGTGACAAGGTAAATGAAGAATCTTACTAGAATTTAATATAATATGAATTCTGCAATTCAACAAATCAAGTTCAAAATATTGAATCACAATGGCTTGTTGGCATTAACTGTTTTTGGAGTTCCACAATTGCTGAAAGATACAAAAAAAATTCTTTAAAACAGAACTGAGAGAAATATGCATTTCATAGTCCTTTGCATTTCGAAAATGTATTTCATAGTCCTTGGCATTTCGAAAATAAGTGATTGAAAACTCACACTATACAGGTCAAAATTTTTTTTTTAAATCAGGGGCAGGGGAAAAATCTGTCATTTAAATATGCAAAATGCTATTTTTGTTTAAATTGTCCTTTATTAAGTCCTGTTTATACTTCAACGATAACGATAAAAAAAAAAAAAAAACTAAAAAGCGATTGTTCATATAGAAAATAAAGGAAATAAGAGTTTTTACACCAGGACGATTCCATAACGGTTTATCGTGTACACGATAACAAACTATCTTAACAAATCAAATCAGATGACGTCATAATCCTGGAAAACGATAAAATCGTTGCTATACTAAGATTTTAATGTTTTTCCATGACTATGACGTCATCTGATTTGATTTGTCAAAATATTTTGCTATTGCATAACTCATAAATCGTTATCGAATCGTTCTAGTGTAAAAACTTCTCTTATTTCTTTTATTTTCTATATGAACCATTGCTTTTTAACTTTTTTATCGTTATCAGTGAAGTATAAACAGGCCTTAAGGTGATTTTGCTGTCTCTGTCTTTAGGCAAAGAATGAATTAGTAGTAAATGTACAGTACATAAAACATTCTTACTCAAATTTAAATTTGTTATTTCCATTCAAAGTTATTAAAATAAGAGTACGATGTACATAATGTACTCTAGCTAAGATAATATATTAGCAGGTTTTTTTTATTTTATCAAGTGAATTATCAGTTCCAATCCTGTTTCTTTTTTTTAGTTTTCAAAACAGCTTCAAATTAAATGTTGTGCAGACAGTACATTACAGTGTTGCAGTGATATCCATTATAGGATACACATTATACTTTATTAGTTCTAACCTCCATCATGGTACAGTGTGTATAATTGGAGTATGATTCATAATCAGAACCTACAGTACAGTAGGCCCCTGAATTTAAAATCTATACAAAATATTTTGTATAGATTTTAAATTCAGGGGCCTACTGTACTAATTCAGGGGCCTACTGTATTTAAAATCTATACAAAATATTTTGTATAGATTTTACATACAGTAGGCCCCTGAATTTAAAATCTATACAAAATATTTTATTCACTTTTGAAAGTCAGGCAATTTTCTGTTTCCGCAACTGCCACAATAAGGCTTCAAACAAACATCACTTTACTGAGAGAGAGAGAGAGAGAGAGAGCTACTGAGACTGAGTGACCAACATCTTCTAAAAACAGGCAAAAGTTATTAATATTAGTGATTAAGCACTAGGTCTACATACAGTAACTGTCACCAAAAATACTAAAGGTTTATCCCTCAACCCATTGTTTCATTATATAGCATGGACTATAATAAGTGAGAGCACGGCCTAATTTACCAATAGCCTAACTACGGGGCATGGCTACAGTATGGACAGTCCGAAAAAAAATTACTCCAATAATTACTCAATGATACAGAATTACCTAAATGATACCGCAATTATTTTATATTACTATTATATATCGTATCTTGTTATTATTATTATTATTTTTATTATTATTATTATTAATTAGTATTATTATATCTACTTTTATTTTAATACTATCATTATTACATTTAAAAAAATTGTATTACTTCTATTACTGTTAATCCGCATTATTAAGCCTACTAATTATTATTTTTTATTAGAATCATAATATACCTTTATAAAGTGATGTATATTTTCATGAATACAGTAGAACCCTCCTTTTGGATTCCCATATTCAAAGGTCAACCCTATTAAGTGGACACTTTTACGTGAAACGAGGGACAGTATATTTTTTAACACTACAGCCAACCCCTATTTAAGGGACGAGAATATTTTCTAAGTGTGCCAAATGGGCAAACAACCCTTATTAAGGGTGTTTTTTTTTCCATTGTATCACAACATCTACAACACCCTAACACATTGCACGTGTTACTTCGTAAACCAATTTTGACTCTTTACAATTAGGATTTCTTTTTCTTTGTGTTTTGTGTATTTCATATAGGATAATCAAAATCGAAACATAATACTCTATTCATGCTATATTCATCTAATAGAAAGCTCTAATGTGAGTGTTTGTAAATAAACCAGTCTTTGTTCACCTTTTCAGTACAATTCACATACACATTGTATATATATAGAATTAAAGGATGATTATATGATGTCATTGTTTCAGGTAATAAAAGTGGGATAAGTTAGCTATGGTACATTCCTGACTTGTTTGTCATCTAAGTTCCTGGTACCATAAGGAAACAGGTTGCTGTCCTTAGTTGACCTTTATGTTGAATGTAGTAATATACATAGAGTAAGGTTTAAATGAAATATAAGATTACATTCGAATTAATATATTTCGGTTAAAAAGTAGAGACGCTACGCATACATATATTAATCAACTTATACTATTTCAAACCATATGAAATTATTTGATTATTTATAGAAAGCTCAATAAAAAAAAAGATTATTTACTCATTAACATTGCATAATTAAAGGATATTGGGAATATATTAACTATTGTTGTTTTAATTACATTTCTGCTGATTACATATTATAGATTAATTGTATTTGCATTGAAAATTATTGCTATAAGTTCTTACTTTACTCCAACTGATAAAATAAAATTATGTTTTTTGGTATACTGTCCCCAGAATATACAGTAAAACCAAAATCACATACACGAATATTAGAGATTTATTAAGATTCAAATTGACTACATCCAAAGTTTCTTTTTGATATTACCATAACGTCTTCAAATTCACAACGGGAAAGTTTAAAAGTTAACTGTAAGCCTACACTGTTATATCAGGCTGGCTACCCCATGGGTTTTTTGGTTTTTTTTTAAATTATTTCAGGGGCCATTTCACTGTATTTGGTCCGTGAGAGTTACATCTTTATTTATAATTAATATTGGACGTAACTTTTGGTAATTTCTCAATCTAAATGTCAACCTACCTAGCATCACGCATAAGTGTTTTAAACGCATTTGAACTAAATCTGTATCAATTGAAATGAATAAAATAAATTTTGTATGCATGATTAAAAATTTTTTTTTGAGAATGTTAAACGATTAAATATTTCTGAAATTAATTATTGAAAGAAAAGAAATATGTTATGATGGATTTAACACATTTATAATAATGTTAGGCATTATTTTGACGAATAAAATTGGATGTAAATTTAAGTAGCCTAAGGCTAAGTTATAAATGATAGTATAATAAAAGTTACGTCTAGACCTAAGTATATATTATGAATAAAGAAATAATCTATGTCCGAAAATATTACGCAAATAACGTTAGAAACAGGTGAAACGAATAAATCAATACCTAAAGATGGCAATTCGTCGGACCTTTTTTAGCTAGGTCAACAAAAGGACCTCCCTACGCCCTAGGCCAGCAGGCTGATGCTCAGCTAGTTCTGTAGTACTAGAGGGTCTAGGCCTCGTTATGTCCTTACTAAATACCTCCTTGTTCCTACTAACTACACTACTACTAGGTTATGACTGTTATACCAGGGATATTCAATAATATAGTAAACTACATTAACTGAATCGATAATTAAAACAAAACTCTTACCCCTTGAAATATTTCCAAGTCTACATGTTTAAACCGCCTATCATCAAGAGCTGAAACTGTACCAATTTTAAACTGATAAAAATTCAAACACCAGCATTCTTGGTCTTGAAGTGACCTAGCCAAATACGATTTCAGTAATTCGAGCTGAGTAGCCT